CGTTTATTTATTTTTGGGACAGAGAGAGACAGAGCACGAACGGGGGAGGGGCAGAGAGAGAGGGAGACACAGAATGGGAAACAGGCTCCAGGCTCTGAGCCATCAGCCCAGAGCCCGACGCGGGGCTCGAACTCACGGACCGCGAGATCGTGACCTGGCTGAAGTCGGACGCTTAACCCACTGCGCCACCCAGGCGCCCCAAACCCAGTGCATTTAAGTTTGGGTCTCTGGTCACGGTCCACCAAGCTCTTTTATTTGCTCTCCTTATGCAGTTGTCCTGAAACTAGATGAAGTACCCAGAGACCTTCACTAATAGCTGTCAGAGATTTTCATCACTTTCAGAACAAGTAACTGGGTTCTTCTGATCGCACACACCTCTTTTCTTGGAGTATGGTGTGGATCTGCAGGTGCAAGAAGGTGAAGGGCAGCCAGATTTAGGGCAGAGTTATTTCCTTATTACCTCCCTGTCTTCCTTCTGGGGAGCATCCCTCTCCCTGTGCCCCTCATGAGGGCTCAAGCACCCAGGATGGCAACAATGATGATGGTTAGACAGGGCTATAAAAACCCCAGCAGCAGCCCTTTGGGAGGGTTGCATTTCAAGGGTGGTATCTCAGAGGGTCTCTGGAGCAGCAGCAGTAGCACAGGACATTTGATTTCTATTATTTTGGCCATGGAGAAATGGATACATTTTGATTTGCAAGCATCAGAGGGAATTCATTCTGTGGCTGTAAGTGTGCCCTGCTCAGAAGCACCTGGCTCTGCCTTGGTCTTGGCTCTTTACTATGCTTGCAAGTATATGTCTGTGGATGCCATCATCTGTCTTGTGCATCTGAAGTTCAACAGGAAGCCCATACTCACCTTGCCTTCCTGGGGTCTTCAAGGGTGCCCTGCTCTGTGATCATGTACTCTGGGGCATCAGCCCTAAGCACCTTATCCATGGTGGCTATCTAGCTGGTAGCTTTCCCTGCCTGGACGCCAACCTGGTCTACACCCTTCTCCTTGGGCAAACAGTGGACATGCATCTCTGCCTCCAGGGTCTCTTGCCAGGTTCTGCCAGTGAGCCTGGGGGCCAGCCGCTATGAATCGTGCAGGAAGAAGAAAGAAAGAGGGCCAAGCTCATTCTTGAGTCTGCCCTTCAGTCCCTTCCAACCACTTCAAATACTTAAACTCCCCATGTTCTGGGGGAAGTAATGGATTTAAAAATGATATCAGGCCAGTGTCCATGCCAGGGAGAAGCTGACCCCCATCTGTGCCAGTACTAGGAGGCCAGAAGCTGGGCAGGGAGCAGGAGAGAGGGCAGGGCTCGTGCTGCTGCTGTTGCTACACTTGTCCCTCATCCCTGGGAACCAGGTTTCCTAATGAGCCAGGTATAGGAGGGAACACAAAGAGGGCCATTTTAGTCTTTGTTACTATCACACCTGCAAACTCATTCTCTCTTGCTTAGCTCTCTCCTATCCCCAAATGAAACCTGGAAAATTTGTGTGGCTTGTCTGGTTGCTTCTCCTGGGGGCTGCCAGGCCCAGGCCATTTTGCTGTTTCTCACATCACTGCCTCCTCATTCTCTGGCTGCCATCTGTGACCCCTGTGCGGTTGCCACAGGCCAGAGAGGAGAGGCTGAAAGTCCTTCTTGACTCTTCTTTTGGGTGCCCACTGGGCTTGGTGGAGGCCCAAATGCTGACCCTGTTTTTATGGAGGTGCTTTTGTAGGTCTTGGGACCTCCCCACAGCTCACTCACTGTCTCCGCCCTTAGTTCCCTGGACAGAGGTGGTGGCACCCTAATCTGATGTCTTATGATCAGCCTTCTGGCCTCTTGGGTTTACCCTCATTGTAGGCAGAGTCCTCCTGAAGACAGCCCAGCTTAGGCCTCATCCCAGGGTTCACTCCTGGTGCTCAGAAAGCATGCATGCATAGCTCTTAGCACTGCATAATCCTCCATGGCTGTGAGGACTTGGGAGCTGGCCAGCCTCAGCTGGCCAGCTCCTCAGCTTCAGAGCCTTGGGGAAGACAGTGGGTACTAGTCTCTAAGGCCCTCAAGCCCCAAAGATGCCCCACATCTCTTAGCTCAATGTGAGGAGGGAAACCTCTTCCCTTTGCCCAGGGAAGATTGAGGCAAAATGCAGATACTGACAACTCACTAAAAAACAGTCTCTTTTGAACTTCTGAACCCCAAGGGGAGGTGGGAGTTCCATGGCAGGGGAGCCTCTCCTGGAGGGAGAGAACATACTGGTATTCTTGTTAGCTTGACCATATGAGAGTGGTCCAGAAGGAAGGGAAAGGTGAAAAGACCAGGTGAGAGAGACTAAAAGCTGGTTTCTCATGCAGAGCTCACACACGTTTACCAAAGTAACATGTCAGAACCAAAAAAGCTTCATTTCTAGCAGTTCCTTGCCTCCTTCTGAGATTCACCTGTTGCTGTGGGATACAAGCGAGCATCCCAAGCCCAAACATGGCCCTGTTGGCTGCAGACATCAGGCCAGAAAACTCTGAGCTCTGGCATGGGAGGGGCCATGGGGGTAATATTTGAGCTCCTGGAACCATTAAAAACTCAGGAGAAACCAGCCATGAGGGCTTGGACACCATCCTGAAGAGCATTTCCTTATTGTGGTCTGTGCAAATGGCCAGCAAAGAGGGGATGCTCCTGAAGGCCTGGCAGGTGTCAGAGTTCCCACCTGCATCAGGTATTGTCCACCCCTGCCTAGTACCTCTGTGCCCCTGATGGAAGAGGACGCTGGTAGCTTGTGTGATGTTTATTGGCTCCCCAAACCTGCTGGTCCAAGTTACAGTGGAGGGGGTTAAAAAAAAACAAGGGATCTCTTGTGGGGGGAATACCATCTTTCATCTAGCACTCACTGCCTAGACACATTTTTATCTTTACAACTGAGGCCAAATTTATGGTGAAGGGGTCCTGGGTGTGTGTGTGTGGGGGGGTGGAATTTGGAAATGCATGAGAGCTACAGTTGGGTTGGCAGGTATCAGCCACACCAGAGCCCTCTTCTTGTGAGCTGGGGAGAGTGGGTAGCTAGTCCAATGCCTTCTGTCTCTCTCCCATTCCTTCAAAGTTTAAGAGAAGAACAGAGCTGCGGCCCAACACCAAGGAGGCCCCTCTGCTGTGGTCTTGCCCTGAGTTGGCAAACCTGAGTCCCATGGGAAGGAGACAGAAACAAACACTAGATACACCACTCTTTCAGCCCATCACTCAACTCTGGGTCCTCTTGGTTCCCAGGGAGCAGGAGAAGCTGAGACCTTAAGAGCTAAGATACACCTGATCAGCTGTGTGACCATGTCCCAAGTGCCTCCTGGATGGGGGGGGGGACTCTGGGGACACAGGATATGGTGATGGTCACCTATTATTATTGTACTCCCCCATCCCAGAAGACACACTGGGGTAGAGTCAATCCACCTACATCTGTGGCAGGTGCCAGAGAGGCAACAATGAAAGGGATGCCAAGGAATTCTTTAGGCACATCTCAGGCATGGCTCAGGAGGCATGGAAAAGCAGAGTGTGGAATTTTCAGGAATGAATTGAGTGTTTAGAATTTTGTGTCCTTAAATGTCCTAAATAAGATAGACTTTTGGGACTGACATGTCACATTATTAAAACAAAGTGAAAAAACAACCCCGTGGGAATTGTGTTATGGGTTTCTGTACTGAAAGGCTGATCTTTGAGGGTCCCCAATATAGTGCCAGGCCCGGGAAGCCCCAGGCCTTGCTTGCTGGTGGCTGAGGGCCCAGAGGCCAAGATGTGGGGCCAGGACATACTCCCAGCACGGGCTGTCTACTGGCGTCTGATCCTTTCTTGGGTCTCCTCAGTGTCAACACTCAGGCTTTCTTTCTTTCTTTTTTTTTTTTTTTTTTTTTTTTTCAAAGAGAGTATGTGATGTGTGAACAGTGGAGATAGAGGGAGAGGAAGAGAAAATCTCAAGCAGGCTCCCTGTTCAGCGTGGAACCTGACACAGGGCTTGATACCATGACCCTGGAATCATGACCTGAGCTAAAATCAAGAGTCAGATGCTTAACCAACAGAGCCACCCAGGCACCCCAAATGCTCAGGCTTACTTGTTTGGCTGAGACTTTTTCTAGGGTGACAGCTTGGCCCTCAACTTCAGTAGGTGTGAACCAAAGCACATACCTCCTTTGAAATGCTATGGCCACGGGTTTGGTGACTGTTTTGTTTGGCCACACTCTTCATTCTCATATTGGATGTTTAAGCTGTGTCTTTAGGAACAAGTTACTCCCTACACATGCACAAAGCCAAAATCTTTTTGCCAGTAATGTGCATAACATCTATGGAGTTCATTGGGAGATGCTGGGCTCACTTAATGACCTCTTGCTCTCAGTGTGATTTATTTATTTATTTATTTATTTATTTATTTATTTTTAGTGTTTATTTATTTTTGAGAGAGAGAGAGAGAGAGAGAGAGCATCTGAAGTGGGCTCTGCACTGCAGTAGCCAGCCTGATGCAGGGCTTGAGTTTACAAACCATGAGATCACGACCTGAACTGAAGTTGGATGCTCAACCAACTGAGCCACCCAGGCTCCCCTCAGTGTGACTTCTTGAAGTCAGGAATTAAATAGATTCTTAGGTGGAAAAAATCCAAACCCAACTGCTTGAGGCTTCTGAGCCTGGTGAGTACAACAGCAGTGGTTCAGGGTCTCCCAAGTCACATGCCTCCTACAAAGGCTGGCTGAGCAGGGAGTCCTCTCTCCAGGACTGCCCGCAATGAGGAAGGGAAAACACTGGTGACCTTCATGCCTCTACCTGCAAAATGCATGCAAGGCTGTGTAAACTTTCCCCCAAATATCTGGCAGGGGTCCAGCCAGGCTTCACAACTCTGTGTCCTCACAACTCTCAAATCCTTGAGGAGAATGTAGTGTCTGAAGGCAGGAGTCTTTGTGTTTCCCCAGCCTGGGGTTACCACGTGCTCCCTCAAGCCACTTCCCACGCTGGGTGGCCGGGAACTCAAGGTGACCACTGGGGAGGGGAAGGGGCAGCACTTACCCCCCGCCTGTGCCACCGTTCTTGCTGAAGTGCGTGCGTGGCTCGCTGGATGCCAATTTCAGTAGCTCAGTCCACTCCCGCTCCCATTCCTCCTCGGTGTACACCAGCCCTGACTGGCACAATGGAAGCCGGCTCAGGAGGTGGTGGGCCAGCCTCCTCACCCGCCCCCCACTCCAGGTGAGCCTGGCGGCCCTGCTGGACCCCTGGTTCAGTCCAAGCCCAACCAATACCCAGGCTGGGCACCACCTGCTAGTGGCCACCGACTGTCCCCGTATGCTATTGACAATATTTCTTCAGAATGCCCAGTCTCCAATTTCAATGCTGTTGGGGGTCCACCCAGAAACAAGGGTCATTCCCAGGGGGTAAGAATGACAAAACACAATCTACACACACACCAGGCTTGGGGTTGACCATTAAAAAGTTTAAAGGGATGATGGGCCAAGTTCAATCAGAGAGCAGGCAGATTCTTCTTCTAGGACAGCAAAGTGCTAATGTCCCTCATAATCAGGAGGACTGGGATTCTCTCTGGATCAAGTACAAGAGCTGGGGCTGTAGATTGTGCCAGGACCACCCTGTGGCTACACCTGGCCTTCAAGCCACCACCAGTAGTGACCAGACATAGGTGACTGCATAATTCATCATCCAAGCCAGGACACCTTTTGAGAGTGAAGGTGGTTGGTTTTCATAACTATGCAAGGACAGGCGGTGAGAGTGGACATGTTGTCACTGTGTGTGTGCCAGGGTCTGAGCTTTTGTAATGGGCACCTCTTCAGTGGGTTTAAATGGGGAAGGCTTTACTACTCCCAGAAGCCATTGCTGCCTGACCTCATAAGACGGACGTGGCCTTGGGGCACAGCTCTGGACTCCACCATGGCCCATGGCTGTGCTTGGTGTGGGTCCCAGGCTCTGGACATCCCAGCAGATACCAACCTCCTTGTTCTGCTGTGTCTGCTGCCACCTCCACCTTCGCTTTAGGGCTTCCCTTTCAGCCCCTGTCCTCATCATGGTGTAGAGAGCTTTCCGCAAAACCAGGTCCCGGTCGTGAAACCCCCACATTCCTGCAGTAGGAGGCCCATGAGGAGCAGAGGAGAGAGACAGGATGTGAGGAGGGGGACAAGTCAGTAGGTAACTCAGACTGCCACAACTTACCAGACCTGGCCTCCTGCATCTGCACACAAAGATAACTCATTAGTTAGCCATCAATTCCCCTGATTAGCTAGCAATTTCCCTCTTGTGTCTTTCCCCATTTCCCCTTGAAGCAGGTTGGTAAATGAAAGAGGATGTGCCCTTCTCAGAGAAACAACAGTGGGTGAAACCAAATGCTGCCTCTTTCTGGGACCCTTGGCAAGACACTTTGAATTTCACAGGTTTGTTTTGAGGGACCTCATGTTCACCATCCAGCTCTTGTGTTTGAGTGAGAGATAGCCTCTGTGGATAAACTGGTGATGTGTCTTCACATGGGGTCTTGAGCCAGGATGGCAATCAGACCCTGGTTTCATCTAGGGTCTGCCACATCTGATGTCTCTGCCCTAAGGCATCTCAGCCTCCTGAGAAGCAGAGCATCAGTGGACACCACTGCAAACATCTGTACCTAAGAGAAAGTACCTGCTTTTGAGGTAGAAGGTCTTTCTCCCTCACCCCTTCCCTGGCCTTTGCTGGGTGTTAAGGGATTATAAGGAAAACCAACCATTTCTGAGTACATTCTTGGGGCAGGTCAGATGTGGTCAAGAGACTCAACAAATGAAACAAACAATAATGAGAGGTGAGGCTCTTGCTGTGGGGAAAGAGTGGGGGAATCTATCCATCCATCCATCTATCCATCCATGCATCCATATCCATCCATTTAATTAAATGGCATTAATTCTACTTAATTAATTCTGAACTCATTTCATAAAAGGGGTGAGACACCATTCTGGTCATTGGCAATACCCACAGCAGCAATCAGGACAGACTAAGTTCCTAAAATCTCACAGAGCACACACTGGGGGAAGGTGGAGCAGCCATTGAATTAGCACATAACAAACCACCTCAGGGGCAGCGGCACCATAAGGGGAGATGAAGCAGGCCAACGGGATGCTGGTTGGCATTGGTCATGGTGTGAATGGAGACATCAGAGCATAGACTCGAGTGGGTATAGGAGGGAGCTGGGTTGCCATTCCAGGCAGAGGGACAGGCCAGGCACCAGCCCCAAGGGGCGCCCACGTGGAATACTTGAGAAACGGCAAGAGGGAAAGGTGGCTGGGGGAAGAATCAAGCAGACAAGGTGAAGAGTGAAAAGGTGGACTTTTAAGTGAGCTGAGGGCCCCTGGAGAGCTTTCATAAGAGGAGTGACCTGCACTGACCTAATCTTTAAAGGCTCAATCTGGCCATGCATCCTTTAGTGCAAAGGTATGCAATAACCAGGGGCTGCTATGGGCTTTCCATCAAGAGAGGCTTTTGTCTTTTTCTACAACATAGACAGAGGGCAGTGACCATTAATGCTCCTGTTATAAACAGGCCAAGCTGATCTTACTCATCCCTCAGACCTGCCTGTAGTCGCCTCTCAGGACTCTCCCAGGTAGGGCAAGTCCAGTCTCAGCTGGACTCCACGGCTCCTTGTTCAGGTCTCTCTTGCAAAGAGGGTCTCTCTGCCCCATGGATGTTTGCTTACGAGTCTGGCTTTAGGATTGCTGTCATTTCTGTGTGTGCCCCCCAACCCTAGGTCAGTGTCAGGCCTGGTCTGCAGGTTTAATAAGCACTGCTGGTCAGTGTTGTGTGGCTGCTTTGGGCAGTGCTGCCCCTCCCTGTGGGGTTTAGCAATTGGAGTACAAAAGGAAAACAAGGTACCAGGAGAAAAGAACCAATTGGCCATGAGCCCCAGACTCAGCCATGGCCCAGCCTCTTCAGCAGCTGGAACAAGGCTGGCCATGGGAGGCTTTCTCTTCCTAGGCAGACAGGAGGCCCACTGTGCTCACTGAGAAAACGTCTGCCCTTAGACCAGACCACAGTGACATGTGACCTGGTTTGTGTCTTTGCCCACCTGTAGTGCTGAGAGGAGCAGTGCTTCTACACACTTCAGTTTCTGAGGGCCAAAGGCATTTCCTTTGTAATGAGGCAGTTGTTTGACAAAGATGAGAGATTTCTTTTGTGTTCTTTCAAGATTTTACACACAACAAAGTGAAGAAATGTGTTCCACAGCAGGGGAATAGTTAATACATTATGATGAAATATGACACAACTACCAAAACATAAGAAATTCACAATATGATTTTAAGGGAAAAAATGCTGGATTCCAAACTGTGAACACTGTGAGATCATAATTTCACTGGAAGAAGAGACAAAATACACCAAAACATTAAAAGTGGCCCTTTCTGGGTGGTAGAATTGTTGATTTTTATTTTCTTACTGTGACGAATGTGGAATACTTTTATAATGCCAACAAACAGAAATGTGTTCTCTCTGAAATGGAAAGGAAGCAGGTAGGTGGGAGCCTTTGTGTCCCCCATCACCCCTGGCCAAGCCTGTGGAATGTGGCCCCTTGCTCTGGGGCTCCATTCTCCTAAGAGGCTCTCAGGCCCCTTTGCAGACCCAATGCATTTCCCTCTGTGGGTTTTAGGCATCTCACTTCTGTCCACTTGTTGCTGGAAAGGCCTCACCACAGGGCCAAAGAGAGGTTTGGGGTCCAGCCCTTGCTCTGGGTCATAGGATCAACTGTATTTACCTGGGGAGGGGAGTTTGACCAACAAGGAATATTCCAATATGCCAACTAAGAATATTCTCATTTGAAAGTCCCATCTATGGAGAGATCCTTCATTATAGGACTGAGGAGGACAGACAGCTCTTGATGCCTGGGTCCCTGGCACAAATCCAGGCCTGTCTGTTAAAACTGATCTGGCTTTATGTGTATAAGGCTGGGTCTAGAAGGGGTGCTTGAGCTTCCAGAAAGTCTACCATGGGCCCTCAGTTATTCAAATAGTGCCACTCATGCCTGTGCACCCGCTGGGATGGCTTTTTGCAACCAGGAAGCACACAACTCTGCTGAAGGTTGCTGACCTCTCTGCTTTATATTCCAATTACATAGATTCCCCTGTGATTTCCCCAAATGATATCTATGTCTTTTTGTCAGTCCATGTGCATGGACTGCTGTCAGTGTGGTGGCTCTGTACCTACCCAACCTAATGTACTGCTCCCCAAACTTCCTGCTCAAGCCCAACCAAGCTCAGACCTGCTTCCAAACATCCTGTTAATTCCTGCCTTCATGCTTTTCCATGCAGTCTCCCTACCTGAAGTGTCCTTTTTTGTATTATTTCAAGTCCTTCAAATCTCAGTAAAATCCTGCCTCCTCCAGGAAGTCCTCTTTTATTGCTCTAGGTCATGATGTCTAATCCCCGTCACTGCAGCTCATGATTAGGCCTCTTTCTTTTATATCAGGTCTTTTCTCATGTGTGCTCTGTGTTCTCACCAAGCCTGCCAACTACTTGACAAGAAGGGCTGAATTGTTGCCTCCATCCCTTGGGGACTCTTCCAGCTGAGTGATGTGCATGGCTCTACTTAGCATAGGTCTGTCCTTTAACAATGATCAGAGCAGGCCTGGGGTGCTGCCACCCTCTGTCTCTGTTGTAGAGCTTACCCAGAGAGGCGGCGTGTAAAAGGCAGTTCCCATCTCCTGTAGTGGCCAAAGGAAGAAGCCGTTTACAGCTCGTGCACACGGTGGACCACCAGTTCAGGCGACCTGAAACAGAAGCTCACTTTAGAAGAGAATCCCAGAATAGACCATTTGAATGTTTGCTAAGTAAACATAGACATCAGCAGATGATTTTTGAGAGGGTTCTAGAAAACTTCAGTGGGAAAGTAGAACATTATGGCTATTTTCTCTTTAAGATAAGAAACGGTCAAATCCTCCCATCAATTAGCAAGAGGATTAAGACACTCCAGGGCAAAGCCTTTTCTCCTTGAATTTGGGAACATTTTATACACACACACACACACACACATACACACACACACACACACACTTTCTCTGTGTGTAATTTCCTTGAACACAATTTCCCTTTCTGAAAGTTATTCTTTTCTCTTATACCATCCTTTTTTTGATGCATACATACCTTCAAAAGTATGGTTTACATTTAATTTAACATATCCAAACCATTATAGCTACTTAGGTATATTCCTGTTAAATCTCACTAACACATCCAGAGACTTCTGCTTCCAGGAAGATGGAGTAGACATACTTTCTCCTATTCCTTATCTTAAGTACAACTAAAAATCATGGACATCATGTGTAAAATAACACAGGAAGACTTAAAAGTGGAGGAAGGGGCAGATTGATCGGGAAACTTGGGATCTGAGAAGCAACATGGTGGTAGGTTCTCTGGAGTTTCTTTTTGCCCCCAAATCCCAGACCAGGTACTGGAGAAGTTGGCAACCTGGAGACACCAGTGGGGGCAAAGGAATCACACTCTCTCTAGACAGTATTCAAGGAAAGGGGCAGCTTAGGAATACAGACAGTAACTACTCTATTTCAGTCAAGTGCCACAGAAGAAACTATACCTCATCATCATCTCTGCCAGCAAAGGGCAAGAGGGGAGATGAAACTTCCAGCCTTAAGAGACATAATGAGCTACTCACCACCCGTTCCCCCAGTGCCAGATGGTGTCAGAGAATGTTGAAAGCATTGCCAGCAACTCAGCCCTGCTGGGTGATAATATGGACTCCACCCCCCACCAACTGAGAACATATGGAGAACTTGGCCTTTCACACCTCTCTGGTGGCAATGAAGTCCCTCTGCTCCCTCCCAGCAGTACAAGAAGCCCATGCCTTCACAGGCGTCAACAGAGGCAGAGTGGAGAACCTGTGCTTCTACCCTATTCTGGCAGTTATTACCAATCTACAACTCCAGACATCAGATGAACAGAAAAAGAGAACCCATCCGACCTGCGGTAAAGAATACTAAAGGGATACAGTAGAGAATACTGCAGGGTGCAAAGAAGGAATAAATGGGCTTTAAAAGGCATGTATGTTGGTAAATGTAAATAAATGTTAGCTGTTTAAAGCAATATAATAAATGCCTTTTTGAGGACTAAAGTATATGTAGAATTAAAGCACATGACAGCAATAACACAAAATACGGAAATGTGTAATAAATGACATAAATCCTAAGACCCTTACACTGACCACCAGGAAGTGGTAAAAGGGCCAACTTAAAGTAATTCTAATAGCTTGACAGTGGGCTTTGGAAACTATAGGGTAACCACTACAAGAATAATAAAAGAATGTATAACTGACAAGCAAGTAGTGGGGAAACCATAATAATAAATATTCTTAAATAATTCAAAAGAATATTAGAGAGAAGAAAAAGGAGACACAATAAAACACAACATAATAAACAGCAAGATAATGGATTTGAACCAAAATATATCTGTATTTATATTAAATGTGAGTGAGCTAAATACTCCAATTAAAAGATACTGTCAACCTTGTTTAAAAAAACAAGTATATGCTGCTGACAAAAGACACCATAAACATAATGACACAGAAATGTAACAGTAACTAGGTAGAGAAAGATACAACATTCAAAAACTAGGCAAAGGGGCTCTTGGGTGGCTCAGCTGGTTAAGTGTCTGAGTCTTGATTTCGGCTCAAGGTCATGCTCTCGTGGTTCATAAGATTGAGTCCCACATCAGGCTTTGCCCTGACATCATGGAGCCTGCTTGGGATTCTCTCTCTCCTTCTCTCTCTACCCCTTCCCCCTCAAGCTTTCACTCCATCTCTCAAAATAAATAAATTAAAAAAAAAAACTTTGAAAAATCAAAAAAAAAAAAAAAGCAAAAATAAAGCTAGTGAAGTCCTATTGATGTCAGATGTAGGTGACATTATTAAGGCACAGGATAAATGGATATTTCATAAATATGGCACAATAAAGTCAAATGGAAAATATAACAACACTTAATGTGTATATACCTAAGACTTAGTCTAAAATATATATAAAGCAAAAATTGATAGACTCAACAGAGAAATAAACAAAACCCAAAGTCAAAACTGGAGGTTTTTAACCAAATTCTCTTGATAAATGATAGACTCAACAAACAAAAACTTCAGTAGAGATTAAATAGAATTCAAGAATTTGACATGTATATAACTTTACATATATATAACACTTCACCCACAGACTGCAAAATAATTACACTTTTTTTTTCAAGTCACATGGAATATTTTCCAATATTGACCACATATTGGGCTATAAAAAAGTGTCAACAAATTTCAAAGGATTTGCAATCATTCATAGTATGTGCTCTGGTCGTAATAAAAATAGGTTAGAAATCAATGAGAAAATCAAGAAAAGTAGCCATCTTGGGCTGCTATAACAAAATACCACAGACTGGGTAGCTTAAAAAACAGACACTTATTTCTCACAGTTGTAGAGGCTGAAAGTCCCAGACTGAAGTGCTGGCTGATGTGGTTCCTGATGAGAACCCTCTTCCAGGTTTTCAGGTGGCAGACTTCTTGCTGTGTCCTCTCATGTTGGACAGTGAGCTCTGATCTTTTCCTCCTTTTGTAAGGACACTAATCCCATCATGGGGGCCCCATCTTCATGGCCTTATCTAAACTTAATTACCTTTCAAAGGCCCTACTGCCAAATACCATCACACTAGGGATCAGGGTTCCAACATAGGGATTTACGGGGGACAAAAACATTCAGTCAATAGAAGTACCCAATAAGGCAGTTTGTTCACTGAATGTGGCTGTCCCCCAAGGGGACTACCCTTTCAACTGCTTTTTAGGTAATGAGCAAGATGAACAGTATAGTAGTTATATAGACCTGTTTTGAAAATTCAATTCCTCCCTGGCCATTTATGGCTATGTTGCTTCCTTTTTTTCTGTAGTGGAAACCCTATGCTTGTCTGTCTGGCACACCCTCTGGGTGGAAGTTTAGCCAAAAGGGAACCTAGGGGATTCATACTTAGTTATGATTCAGTTTTATAAAAATACTTTGTCCTTCTTATGGCTAACCTTTGTGGATGAGAGGTACAGTTGTGATTAGGAAGAGATTGAAAAAGAAATAGGTAAGTTACAGGCATTGTGATGGCATATGCCAATCTTGTGATAGAGGGGAGAAGCAACAACTCTAGCATGTGGGGAAAGAACATATCAGACTGCAGAATGTGTAGGGGAGGGAAGTACATTGATCATGTTTTACTTCTTAGGACCACCTTGTAGGTTTCCACATGAAGAAAAATGCTCCTGTGGGATATCCCAGATGTTGCACATACCTCAAATATAGCAGAACCTTTCTCCTGTGACTGAGAAGTCTCAGGGTTTCTGCCAGCATCCATGAAGCCATGGAAAGCTAATTTATTAGCTTTCAAGTAAAACTTTGGACATCTCACAGTTATTGACAAAAAACATAGGCCTCATAAAATACAAAGTTTACTATCCATCAGGGGAGGAAGGTCCCACAAAATACAATAGGATGGGTTGAAAATATTAGAAGAACAGGAATGAACACAAAGTAGCCTGAGCCTTACCAGGACTGAAACCCGGCCTCAACTCATCATTCTGTGACCAGAGTAAGGTAATTAGCCACAGAAGGTGAAGGGTGAGCCCTTTCTACAGGAGGACAACATCATTTGGAGTCTCTGAAATTTTATATTCACAAGGTCTATAAGGCAAGCAAAAAATTACTAGGTATGCCAAATCCAAACAAAAACAAAAAACAAAAACCAACCAAACAATAAATCCCAAGAGTAACTGACTGAAAACCAAAAGGGAAAAATGGGGTAAGAGAAAAAGGCAAACAGATTATCCACATTTTGAAGTTATCTGACAGAGACTTTAAGTCACTATAATTAGTATGTTCAAGAAAATAGAAAAAATGAGGCAGAAGCAATATTTGAATAGATAATCATCAAGCATTCTCTAAAATTGATTAAAGACACCATTTTTAGAGGGTCTGTAAATTCCAAAAAGAATAAATACAAAGTAAATGGCATATAGTGAAAATTAGAAAATTAGAGAGAAACTCTTAAAAGCAGAGGAAAAAGAGAACTATTACATACCTAGAGGAATAGTGATATAAGCCTACACAGAGTGGAATGAGAACATCAAATTGCCAAAAGAAAATAACTTCCAATCTAGAGTTCTATACCCAGCAAAACTATCCTTAAACACTGAAATTGCCAGGAATGTAAGGTAACTTCCTCAATCTGGTATAGGTCACCTATGAAAAGCCTGCAGCTAACAGGATACTTAATAGTAAGATATTGGATGATTTCAACCTCAGATGGGGAACAGTACTCAATATTGATGATGGTCTGAACCTGTGCAATAAGGTAAGATGTTATGATAGAAAAGAAATGAATGGAACTGCACTTATCAGTAGATTACATAATTGTTTATATAGAAAATACTTAGTAATCTACCAAAACACTCCTAAGCCTAATAAGGGAACTTATATTTAGCAAGATCTCAGGAAGCAAGGTTATCTACAGGTATCATTTATATTTCTATTAAGTAGCAATATATGATTTAGAAAATGAAATAAAAAATGTAATACTTAGACATAACTCTCATGAAAAATGTTATATCTAGACTGAAAATTATAAAAATATAATACATTCCTGAGAAAATGTAAAGATTTAAATAAGTGGAGAGGGTAATTGTGCACATAGACTGAACTCCTTAATGATTCTGCATTCTCTCCAAGTTGATCTATAGATTTAACATAACCCCATG